GCTGGGGGCAGCTGGGGGCGGCCCGTGAGCGCGGGCCGTGGGGTGGTGGAGCTGCGCCGGCGCGGTCGCGCACGCCTGCGGTTCACCCCCCCGCCGGCCGGGCGCCTTGCGGGGAACAACTGTGGGTGGACGAACATGCGCCCATGTGGTCACCCTGGTTAAGGTGTAAGCCGGGCTCGCGGCCTCCCCCAGGGCTGTTTGCGGGACGCGCACTCGAGGATCTTATCCAATCGCTGGGGGATCATGCCGTCGGTCGCTTCAACGGCAGACCACGCCGTGCGGCGCGCCAGGGCGGCCTGCGCGGAGGGCGGAAGCGGCGCCCGCGGCGGCAGCCGTGGGCGGCGGCGTGGCGGGGTGGTTGGGGGTTGCCAGGGATGGCCAGTGGCCAGGGCGGGGCGGGCCAGCACTATTCCTACTTAGCGGGTGCGGTACGCACCTCCGTCGCCGACTTGAGGGCGGAGCAAGTGCACATACAGAGCGCTTGGTCCACAATCGACAGTCTTGACAGGAGCAGCTCCAGAATGCCGCGCGGCAGCTCAAGTACAGGGAAAGGGGGCGTGTCGGCATCGGCGTCGAGGCCCACGACGGCCGCGGGCCGAGCCACTAAGTGCTCGATACGAGCTTTTGCGGCCATTTCAGCAGGCGTGAGCGTCTCGAGGCACGCGTGTCACCGGGCGGTGCATGGATGTCACTACACGCGATTGGAAGCGCCTTATCTCATGACTTCTGGTCTTTTGAAAAGCTTGTAGTACGAGCTCAAGCATATGACAGTGTGCTGGTGCCTCCCCATTAGTGATCTGCTGTAGCAGTGCACGTCTGTTATGGACGCCCTTCTGAACTATGGAGCGGGATCCGACAGCTCTGGGGATGAACAAAGACCTGATGGTGAGGTGCCTGGGCTGAAAGTGCGCGCCCGTCTTGCACGGTGCATGCTGCTTGCTGCCGCTGCGCTTGCCGCAGCACTGCATCCCCGTCCAATGCCCCACCCCAACTGGCGGGGCCCGCCAGGCGCGCATGGCTCCGAAGACTCTTCCGAAGTGTCTTCGAGTGAGCACAGGTGCGGTTGGACCGCTGGCATCGCATGCTATCAAGGGCGCGCGCCCTCAACCTGCGCCACCTTTACCCCCAGCTGTCGCCCAGTCTGTGTGCCGCACGCGCCAAACAATTTTCGTATGCACACGGGCGCCTCCCCGCCCTCAGCGTCGACAGCGCGCAGCAGCGCGCGGCAGCGGCGGCGGCGCGGCTGAAGGACTATGGGGACGAGGGCGCCAGCAGCAATCCGGGCGGCTCCAAGGCAGGAGCTGCGGCAGCGGCGGCGGCGGCATCAAAAGCGGCGGCGGGCGGCTCGCTGCTGCCGTCAGCGCTAGATGTATTCAACGAGGTGAGAGATCGTGCGCCGCCGGAGCCGGCGCCGCGGGCCGCGGCCGTGCGTGTGGGCAGCAGGGGCCATTCCTCGTGCTGGTGGCCGCCACCACTCGCCCCTGAACTGCAGACGCACAATGCCCACAAGCGCGGCTGCCTGCTGATATCACAAATCATTATTGGTTGACCAACGTCACGCAACCAGGTCAGAGCGCCCTCGTTTCTAGACCCAGAAGCTATCAGGCAACTTCCGGTCGTGGCCCACCACGGCCGCACAGCAGAGGAGGCCGCAGCCCTTGCGGCCGCGGCGGCAGCGGCGGCGGCGGCGGGCACGGCAGGCGGCGGCGGGCGGCGGAAGACGATTGGGGCGGGGGGTGGGGAT